GCGGGGACCGCCCCAGAACCGCGGTGGCGGCCCCGCCGGCCCAGCCGGTAAGTGAAGACTAGGCCTTAGGGAACTACTATTTACAGGGGAAGCAGAGGCAAAATCCTGGGGGCTCGAGGTTGAAGGAAAGGAACGAGACGAGCAGAGGGGCTAGGGAAAAGTCAGACAGAGCGAGAGAGCGAAACACTGGAGGGGACAGACAGACTAGTAGGGCACAGAAGAGAGCTCAGCTGAGAATATAAAAGAAGGGTGACAGACATACGTGTTACCAGTAAAGCAGTTTATTCATACCCCATGACGTGCACTTGGACTGGGTCTTTCACGGGATATAGATTCCAAGTTAGGAAGTAAATCACAAGCCTGCAGCACAGCACATCAGGAATACTCCACTTCCTCTAAATGCCAAAGGGGAAAGGGGGGCAAGCAGAACCCAAAGGAAGTGACAAGTTTGTTCTCTGCAGGTTCTCCTGTTTACCCATTTATGCCTCACTTTCTAACTCCAGGTTCTGTACCCTCTGAACAGAGCCCACAGCATTTGTAGAGTGCCCCACAAGTAGGGCTCAGAGGCACTATAGTGATAAAAAACAAACCACCACCACCACCACCAGTAACTTAAATCCTTAATAAGCCCCCACAATTCTGGAAAGAGCCCTGTTCCCACCATCAAGTGCAGAGGAGATGACGTATCAACTGGGGCCAGTTAGTCTCTTCCTGCATGGGTAATGGAACAAAACATGAGAAATTACAGCATGCCCAGTGCTTCTGCTAATCAGTGGGTGAGACACAGTTGGTGCCATCTGGCAAAGGGTTCACTGTTCTGTAACAGCTACTCTTAACAGGCCGGACAAGTAGAGCCCTGTAAATCTGCGGCTATCCGCTTTATATCTGCGGATAGGATGCAGATATAAATTTTGTATCCGCGCAGGGTTCTACTGACAAGCTCACTACACCTAGCACCATTTCATAGTATTTATCCATAAAGAACATCAGGGGAGGTCCCTAATGTAAGCTCATGTCATATTCATGCTCACAATCACTGCGTGATGTGCGTACGGGTGAAATTTAAGGAGGCGTGTATATGTACTGAAAAGATGTTTGAAGTGTGTCCAAGGCAGAGCTGACCAGCAAGCCTTGGGCAGACAAAGGATGTTGATTCATCTGTCTCTGTTGACCGTGTA